AATGAGCGATCTTCATTGGCACAGGAGGAGATTATTGTTTCGAGCAGACAGTGTCCGAAGAATGAATTGGAAGAACTGAGACTAGACCCTGAATTTGAGGACGTAATAGCAAAGCCAGAGAGTGGAATAGAGGTGGATAATTATATGTTAGAAGAAAGGGCGCTACTCCGCGTTGACGGAGAAGGGAATGTGTTGGAGGTGGTACCAAAGAGTAATCGAAAGAGGCTGTTTCAAGAAGCCCACGGTGGCTTATTCGCAGGACATTTATGCTCGCGGAAAATTATTCGTAAACTCAGCAAGCAATATTACTGGAAGACGCTAGCTTAGGATGTGAGGAAATGGCATAAGGAGTGCTTAATTTGTGTGGCGGTCAACCAGCAAGCTAGACGAGTGCCACTATTGAAACCTGTGGTCACGCAGGCACCATACGAATTGTTCGAGATGGACATTTTGGAGCTGGGTTCGACCAGCAGTGGGAATAAATATGCAGTCACCATAATTGATGCGTTCAGCAAATGGTGCTCAGCGTACCCAGTGCCAAACAAGACCGCAGAAAACATTGCCAGAGTACTGGTGGAGAACTGGATCGCGAGAGAGGGGAGATGCCCAAAGGCACTTCTTTCGGGTCGAGGACCGGAGTTCGAGAACGATTTGCTGCAGGAGGTAGCAAAAATCTTTGATTTCGAGTGCAGGTTTACCGTGGGCCATAATCCAAGGGAAAATGGTCTTACGGAGAGGATGAACAGAACGTTGGCGAGCATGCTAGTTAGGAGCACGGTGTTGCCGGTGGAATGGGATCGAAGACTGCCGTTCGTGTTGTACGCCTATAATACATCCCCTCGTGTGTCGACTGGGGAAAGTCCTTTTTTCCTACTGCATGAAATGAATCTGAACTACCCGGCAGTTCTAGGTGATATAGAAAAACCGATGATGTATATGGTCGATCGCACGGACTACCGAACAGAGCTTCTAGAAAGCCTGAAGGGAATTCGGTTGCAGGCAGCTAAAAATGTACAGGAAGCGCAAGCAGCAGCCAAATCCTACTACGACAAACGTTGGAATGCCAAAACGAGCCAGTTCAAAGCGGGTGAGAGGGTACTGGTGTTGGCTCCAACGCAGGCGAGAAGATGCTCACATCCGAAGCTCGCACCTAGATTTAACGGCCCGTATCGGATTCTGGAACTGTCCGATAGCAGTGCACTGGTGAAGCAGATTTATGGGCAAGAAGAGGCAATTGGTCCATTTGAAGAAGGTTCCTGAAGAAACTTGGATCAGCAGATAAG